ACCAGGAAGTGGAGGGCACAGCTTTAATCGCAACACTGAGGCAGAGGCAGGTGAATCTCTGTGAGTTCGAGGTGAGTGTGGTCTACAAGAGCTAGTTCCAGGACAAGCTTCAAAGCTAGAGAAACCCTGTCTCATAAAACAAAACAAAAAAAAATGTAGAATAATTATCAAGGGGCTACATTACAAGGAACTGCCATCAAATGGATAGGTTAGTTCTGTAAGCAAGATCCTGAAAATAGATGGTGATGATGTACAATGATGTCCTTAGAGCCATTAAACAAAATGAACTTATAAAGTGAAAATGGTAGAGTTTATTGTAATACAAGAAATTTAGACAAAATGAAATAAACTCTAAGTGAACTGCAAGTTTTTACACACTTCCAACTCTATAATCAGAAAAACATTACCTTTTACAGTAAGTATGTAGCTTTCAATACTAAATTTCCAGTTTGATCCATCATCTATAGCAAACTATAAAAGATTTCTAAAGGCCAGGTGATGACAACACACCTTTAATCCCAGCACTCGGGAGGCAAAGACGGGTAGATCTCTGTGAGTTCAAAGACAGCCTGGTCTACAAAGCAATTCCAGGACAGCTAAGGCTGTGACACAGAGAAACCCTGTCTTGAAAAAACAGGATTTTTATCTTTAGAAAAAAACGGGACCAAGTTCCTAAGGTACAAACACAGTGTAGCTCAAAGGTCCTCCCCAAATTTCCTTCCCAGACATTACTGTGCTTTGATAAAGGAATGTGAAACTACTCATTTATTGGAGCCCAACAGGATGACTAAATTGTATGTCAATGGAGTAAGCTAACAACTGAGCGCTCAAAAACATCTAGGAAAGAATTACCAACACTATTGGAGGAAATTTACTTAAGGCTTCCAAAATGCAGTTTTGTTTTGTAGTTTTTTTTTTGTTTTTTGTTGTTTTTTTTTTTTTTTTTATTCGAGACAGGGTTTCTCTGTGTAGCCCTGGCTGTCCTGTAACTCATTCTGTAGACCAGGCTGACCTTGAACTCACAAAGATCCACCTGCTTCTGCCTCCCAAGTGCTGGGATTAAAGGCGTGCGCCATCACTGCCTGGCTCCAAAATGGAGTTTTTGACAAAGTACAAAAAACTCAAATGCTACCAAAATGGAAGGACAGCAATATAAAACAAGTGGTCTTTCACCACAGAGCAATTCCTTGTCTTTTTAAAGCTTAAGTGAGGAGTTTGAGAAAGGAAAGAGGGTGGGGGAGAGTACTACCTAGAGAAGAAGAGGAGGAAACAATACCTTTTTTTGTTTCAGACTTTCTGGCTAGTGCTAAGAGCATGAAGGTAGCTAGTAGCAATAGAAGGGTGAAAGGTACAGAAGACAGTAGGAAGCATTTAGGTGATGAGTAGCTTTCAATTTTTTGTCACAACTCATGACATACTGACATTTTGTGGGAGAAAAGGATGTAGCACAATTAATAAAAACCCAGAGACAGATACTGGGGCTCAACCTGAAGGCCAGGACAGCAAAACAGCCAGCCACTGGCTCTTACCTCTACCTCAGTCCAAAGTGGTGATACTGCTTCCAGGAATTCTCAGAATGAGACTGAGTGTGCACCACTATGACCGGTTTCTACAGCAAACTAGGGAGGCTACTGGGATTAAAGGTGTGTCACGACACCTTATTGTAAGGCTGACTAGGGCAACTATTTTTTACTCTCTAATCTTCAGGCAAGCTTTATTTACTTATACAAATAAAATTATCACTACAAAAGGATAGTAAATTTAATCAGGCAAATAAACACCTAAGGTTTTTTTTTCAGTTGGTATATATAACTTGTGAGAATTTGATATTCTATACACATTACTCATTGAACTGGAAGATCAAAAAATACTATGATCAATCAGGTGGTGATGGCAGAGGCAGGCAGATCTGAGTTCGAGATCAGACTGGTCTAAAGACTAAATATGAAAGCTGGGTGGTGGTGGCGCACGCCTTTAATGCCAGCACTTGGGAGGCAGAGGCAAGCGAATCTCTGAGAATTCAAGGCCAGCCTGGGCTACAGGGCTGCAAGGACAGGTCTACAGGTCTAAAAGTCTACAAGGTCTACAAGGTCTGGTCTACAAGGCAAGCCAGGACAGGCACCAAAGCTACTCTGTCTCGAAAAAAATAAAGCAAACAACAACAACAACAAAAACCACAAAATAGCCACAGAAAACCACTTATTTAGAACTATAAACCAAATTAAATCCTTCCTTTAAATTACTTCACGTCAGGTATTTTTGGTCATGTTAACAACAACAACAAACCATAGTGCCAATGTTCATAGATTATTTTTCCAGTATCTTAATGGGGTGGGAGGGGCAACAGTGGCTGGCATACACAAAGCCCAAGTTACAATACTCAGCTCTGGGGAAGAAAAAAAGCCTAATGTAGCTGCCACGGTGACACACATCCTTTATGGCAGCACCTGTCAAGGCAGAATTCGAGCACAGCCTGGTTCACATAATGAGTTCAGGCCAGAGCTGTATAGTGATGCCCTGTCTCAAAAAAAAAAAAAAATCTTTAAATAGCCTGATGCCACAATCCATGATCATAGATCTGATTCTGAAACAGTCCTAACTAACAGTTCAAGTTGAAAGAACAAAAACAATTTTAGTAAGGGGGGGAGTACGCAGGGTTCCATGCATTCTTCTAAGGTTCTAGGAAACGGGAGACTCGCTTGCAGCTTGTGTCTAAGCCAACTGAGCAGGAAAACACTGGAAAATGTTAAAAATAACAGCCTGGCATTGGTTCCCATGAAGCCAGAAAGTCCTTCCTATAAATCTCAACTGTACTGACACATACGGCACATGGATCTAAAATACTTACGTGCAGACACTTTTAGAGGCTCCATATTACCTCAACAATCTTAACATGACAAGAACATTCCAAGGAAGGAAAGACAGTTTCTCCAACATCTTCACCTCATCTTCCTCAGCTTCTCTTAGAACAACTCATGTCAACACAGCTAATGTTTTCTCCCTCAGATTTTTAAATAGCATGATTGTAATTTCTAAAGTTTGTTTCTGTTTTGTTTTTTGGTGGTTGTTGTTGTATTGTTTTGAGACAGGATTTCTCTGTGTAACATCCCTAGAGGGTCCTAGAACTAGCTCTTGTAGACCAGGCTGGCTTGAACTCAAGAGATTTACCCACCTAACTTCCAAGTGTTGGGATTAAAGGCGTGTGCCACTACCACCCTGCTCTCCTCCAAAGTTTTTTAATGTTTATGACTTAATCCCACTTACAGAATCCTCTGTAAACTCACTTGCCATAATGCTCCCCAGAAGTTCACATTACTACAGAGCTCCCAAAACAATTACAACTTACAAGAAAACTCATTCCCTTTATGTTTGCTTTATCTAACTCTTCACACTTAGTCATGGTTTTTCCTCCACCCACTTTTTCTTCGGCTTGTGTTGCTATGCCTGCTACTCCTGCTTCTGGGTGGAGAAACCCTGGGAGGGGTAAACTTCTTATTGTCATTCTTCCCCTAACCCCATGCAACTACTGAAGAGAGAGGATTCAACAGGGACTCAAAAATGGCTTTCCGTAAAACTGTCCAGCCTAAACTAACAGAAGCCAGATGGCAGCTGGTGGGCAACGGCTAAATTAAGGCTAGGTCCTGTGCTCGCTATCCGATGCGGCGGCAAAGAGGCAGCGGCTCTTGGCTGAGTGGAGGACTTGCTCTTTACCTTAGCTGTCAGACAAAGCACATGGACTCCAGCACCTAAAGGGGCTACCTACGACGACGGAAGAAAACGGGGACACGGGGGGGGGGGGGGGTCCAAACTAACAATTACAACGACAACACACACAAAAGAAGGCATACTGACAGCGACTAAACAGGCCACTTCCAACCACCTGACAAAATAACGTAGAGACTACTAGGAGAGAACAACGGTTTCTTTAAAAAAGTAAAGGGTTAATCTCCGTGTCTGAAATCCCCTTGTTTGATCCCAAATATCTCAAAAAGTATTGCAATTAACTGCTTAAGAGATCATCTGAAAGCAGAAGACATAACCTTCAAGCTACCCATTGTGGAAAGGAAGAGACGTTAAGTGGCATTTAAACCTTCATGGTTACACTTAATTATTAAGAATGTCTAGAAAAGAAAAAAAGCCAACAGCAAAAAGAGAAAGAAAACCTTCCATAGTAAACTGATAAGACTTTCCACACAGATTTGGAATTTAACCCAACTTCAGAAACGCTGGGAAAACTGTAGGCAATTTTGGGGAAAATAAAATTACACTGAAAAAATTTACATTCGAGTTACACACAGCTTGGTTAGTATAAAAACCCCATTGATAAAACAGAATTAGCACCCCATTCTCTGTTCATGAATACAAACCGGACAGAATCCAGCGACTACAAACCTGGGATGAGAAACATTAAATTAAGACTGAAGTTGTCCTCTACCAGGAATTTTTTTGGGGGGAGGAGCTATTTCTACTACAGTCAAGCCTTCAATTACTTAGTCACTCTTATTGTTCAGACCGCTGTTAAAGACAAAAAAATGGCAAGAGCCGATCGCTCCTCTAAATTTTACACATTGGGAGAAACATAGTAACATCAGGGTGAGGCTCACAGCCTCCGCCTGCCTCAGTCACAAATTCTTCGAAGGAAATGGGGGACCGCGGCGGCAACCACACCCCTGCCGACTGCAAGCAGCCCGCAGCTCTTACTCCAAGCGGCATTCCCAGGCTTACCACACCCCCTCGGCGACACGGGAAACCAAGCGGATTTCACGGCGCGATCGCCGCCTCACGCCCCCCTCCCGCACGCAGGCGACTCCCAGCTTCCGCCTCGCTCCCCCGCCGACTCGGGTACCCAGCGACCACCGGCCTCCGGCGCCCGCCAGCCCGCCCCCCGCGCCGCGCCCGCCCGCTCCGGGTCCGCGGCCGAAGCTCCCGGCTCGAGGGCGCGCCCCCGCCTCCGCCTCCGCCCCCGACCCCGCTGTCGCCTCCCGCGGCCTGCCGCTCACCTGGCCGCCGGCTCCTCCCTCGCCCGCCCGGCGGGCCGCCGCCTCGAAGCAAGCGCGGGCCGCGGGAAGTCCGCTGAGGAGGGGGAGGGGGCGGGATGCCGGGGAGCCGCCTCCTTTCTCCTGGCCGCCGGCTCCCGCAGCCAGGCCGCGCGTCCACGCCCGCTCGCCCACTTTCTCACGGCCCTCGCGGGGGTCGGCCCGGCGGCTCGCCCTCCCCCCTCCCCCCACGCCCGCACTCTTCGTTCCCACACGCTCACGCCCGGCCGCCGCCGCCCGCTCTCCCGCGCGCGCGCGACCCCGCTCACACACTCGCTCTCACACACACTCACACAGCGCGCGACGCCGGCGAGGCCGCCCCGCGTCCCCCAGACCGAGGCGCCGCGCGCCCCCCGCCCGAGCCGAGGACCCGCGCGGCCACGCCCCCCGGCAGCGCCGCCGACGCGGGCGGGGGGTGACGGGGGGCGGGGCGGCGAGCGCGCCCGCGGGACTGACACCTGCGAGGGGGCCTCCCCGCGGCCGGACGAGAGCCACGGGGCACGCGGGCGCGCTCGCTCGCGAGGATCGCCACGCGGGCGCCCCAAGGACGCGCGCCTCGCCACCCGCCCCCAAACCGTCCTCTCGGAGCCGGGAAAACGGGTGGGGGGCGAGGTCTGTTCCGCTCGGCACCGCGAGAGTAGGCCCTGCCGTTGTGCGCCCTCCCGCTCGCCCGCGCAGCCCCGGCTTTGGGCAGCGGCCGTGCGCGCTTTGATGTCCGCCGACCCGGTCGAGCCTCTCGCGCGAGGGCTGGCCTGGGGACTCGGGCGGCCCGCCGTGGCGCCAACAGTCCTCCCTGGCGTCCCGCCTCACCAGGAGGCAGCGATTTGGGGACAAAGATGATGGTAACTGAAATGGTCCCGGTCTGCGGATGCACCGAAGACAATACCTCTCAGAACGCACGCGAAAGGCACGGTAACTGCAGCCTCAGCCGAGCGTGCTACGCTAAGGGACGCTGAGGCAGGAGGATCACAGGCGACCCCTGTGCCCCAAAAGAAAATAAAGGATATCATAAATTCTGTGGGCTGGACAGATTCAAAGGTAGACAGGGAAGCTAGAGCAAGCTCGGTCTCTTAGAAGCCTGTATGAACCTACAAGGAGCTCCGTGTTGATGTCAGAATAAACAGATCGTGCATTTAGGAGCGTTTCCTTAGTTGAAAAAAAAAATCATTGTCTCAAACAGAGGCTAAACATTTGATCACGCTCCGCTACTTAACTCCCGTTTCTGCTCCGTGAATGAAACCAAGGATGAGTGACCTCCCTTACATTGAAAATCCATCCACAAATAACTTTAGTCATCAGAGATCCCAGATATGAGCTACAATTCAAGCGCCTTGTACCCCCCCACCCATCTCAAATCATGTCAACCAACAGCTCTACGCTTCTTCATTTAATCATCTTGCCAGTCCTAGAGCCCTAACAGCATAGAGCAGTGGTTCTCAACCCTTTGGGGGGAGGGGCAAACGACCAGCTCACAGGGATAGCCTAAAACCATGGGGAAACACCGATATTTACATTACGATCCATAACAGAAGTACCAACAATAATTATCGTTGGGGGCCACCACAACCTGAGGGCGATGTTGAAGGTCGCAGCATTAAGAAGGTTGAGAATCACTGGCCTAGACGGTGGGCGAAATTGCTCAGTAGGTACATAAAAACACCTGTACACCTCTGCCAAGTAAGGGGACCAATTCCCAGCCGGGTGGTAGTGGCACACGCCTTTAATCCTGGCCTACAAGAGCTAGTTCCAGGATAGTTCCAAAGCTAGACAAATTTTGTCTCAAAAAATCAAATAATAATAATTTGAAAAGAGGACCAATTCCCACAAGCTTGACCTATCTCACCCCTTTCTCTATATAGGTGTGTGTACAGAGATTATATACATTTTAGGAGCTGTATTGTAACCGAGGGAGGGAACTGCTGGAGCCACACTGCTGGCATTGGACTGCTGGTCCACTAACTGTGATCTGAAGTAAATTCACCTCCCTCTATCTTAGCCTGAAGAAAGAAAAAGCGATTTTTAAAAAGGAGCTACCTGCTTTATATAGAACTGTCCTAGTAAGCACAGAAGGCCCCTCAACATCCATGGGAACTGGACCTAGGACTCTAGGAATATTCAAGTCCCATATATAAAATGGTAGGTAGTGTTTGCCTATACCCTATACACACCCTAAACCACCTCTAGATGAAGTCATACTGAATACAAAACTGTACAGACAAGAAAGAACACCTGAACCTATCCGGTACTGATGTAGTCTTTTCAAGTGTCTTCTGTCTACAGTCGGTTAAATCTGAAGAAGGCCGACTGTAGGTTACACCTCTTGACACAGAGCATCTGCTTGAGTGGCTACATCTATTCTTCGTTATGCCATTGAGAGCAGCCTAAGGTAGCGAACCTTCTTTACAGAGAACACATTCAGAGGAGCAAATGTGCAGTATGGCATACTGCCTTCAGAGAAAAAACAGGGAAGGGGCTACTCTGATAGCCTCCTGGCACAAAAAGCAGGTTTAACCAAAAGACCATGAGTAACGCAAACTCGGATTGGTCTTAATAATAAAACCCGGAGTCAGCTATCGGGAGTGAAAGTTGAAAGATTAGAGAAGCCAGCCACAAGTTCTTACCTCTACTTCAGACCAAAGGGCAATCCTGTCTCTGGGAATATGCAGTCTGAATGCCGCGTGTTCCTGTCTCCTCCCACTTTATATTCCTCTCTCCGCCCAGCCATATCCCTCCCTGTTTCCGCCTCCCCGGAACTGGGATTAAAGGCCTCCGAGTCCCAAGTACTGGGACTAAAGGTGTGAAGCAACACTGCCTGGCTCTGTTTATCTTTTTGATAAACAGGATCAATTTCCTGTAATTCAGGGTGACTTTGAACTCAGAGATCTTTTGCCTCTATCTCTCAAGCGCTGCCATGATAAACGTGTGCCACTACTGCCTGGTCTCTATAGCTAACGAGTGTGGCTAGTTCTGCACCCTTATCTTCAGGCAAGCTTTATTTGTTTTTTCCTTTTGTTTTGTTTTGTTGTTTTTTTTTTTTTTTCTCAAGACAGGGGGTCTCTGTAGCTTTGGAGCCTGTCCTGGAACTCACTCTATAAACCAGGTTGGCCTCAGACTCAGAGATCCACCCGCCTCTGCCTCTCGAGTGCTGGGATTAAAGGCGTGAGCCACCACCGCCTGGCAGAAAGCATTATTATTTGTTAAAGCACATACAAAATACCACCCCAACCATGCTTTCTTAAAGCGTTTTGTAATAAGGGGAAACTTGATCATAACGAAAATCTAGCAAGCACACGCATACACGTGGGATTGCGTGGATCCTGTACACACACACACACACACACACACACACACACACACACACACTCACACACAGAGAGAGAGGGAGGGAAAGAGAGAGAGAGAGAGAGATTGGCAGAGAGAAAGGTTGCACAGAGCATGAATAGCTTGTTCCTCCTACTGTAACTCAATCCAGTTGATAGTAACCGTACACCTTCCAGAAAAAGTAGGCTGTGCAGGGGAAGCTGAGCTGTAGGTATTCAATCAACTCCCCGGCCACTTGCAGTTTAAAAATGCCCTCTATTATACACCACACTGCCACTCCCTGCACAGTATCTGAATGTGTACAGCATTGGTTTTGATAAGGAACTTTTCTTTAATCGTATCTGAACAGGAAAATCGGTTATTTTATGCTCATAAAAATCCTGAGGGGTAGATAAGACAAGCATGATAAACTGCAGAATAGTCAACGTTATAAGTAAGTCAAAAGCAAAAACCTAGTGTTAATAGGGCCATTTTCAGTTCTTAGTTCTGCCTTAAGCGTAATGTAATCAGCACTTCAAGCACACTGATACCCAGCTTTACAACAGTCATCTCTTAAACTGGGTTGCTAGAGCTTCCTTATGAGATTTCAGAAATAACTCAAGAAGACCCTGCCTCAGGTCTAAGGACGTGGTGCATTTTAAGCTGTTGTACTGCCGAGGTCCTTGGATGAACAAATAATCGTTGAATAAGTAATCTCCCCCGTGCCATTATGGGAAACCATGAGAATGGCCATACAGGACTCAATCACGTTGCTGAGGCTTCACGGTTGGTTTGCTTAGACCACTATGTCTCGCATCTCCTTTAAGATGCGCTTTATGAGCCGGGCGGTGGTGGTGCAAACCTTTAATCCCAGCACTCGGGAGGCAGAGGCCAGCGGATCTCTGAGTCTGAGGCCAACCTGGTTTATAGAGTGAGTTCCAGGACAGGCTCCAAAGCTACACAGAGAAACCCTTTCTTGGGGAAGAGAAAAAAAGAAAAAAAAGTGCTTTATTATAAATATTTTGGGTAGTTAGTCTGGGTTTCATTATATGCCCACTAGGTTTTGGTTTGGTTTGGTTTGGTTTGGTTTGGTTTTTTTCAAGACAAGAGTTTCTCTGTGTTATCCTGGCTGTTCTGGAACTCGCTCTGTAGACCAGGCTAGCCTCAACTCAGAGATCTACCTGCCTTTGCCTCCCGAGTGCTGGGATTAAAAGTGTGTGCCACCACCTCCTGACTTTTTTAAAATTTGAACTATTCCTTTATTTGCATGGATTTTTTTGTCTGTATGTCTGTGCGCCACCTGCAGTCCCATTTGCAGGTGTTGTGAGCCACCATGCGGGTGCTGGGAACTGAACTCGGGTTCTCCAGAAGTATAGCCTGTGCTCTTCACTGCTGAGCAACCATCTCCAGCCTCCCAGCTATTTATTCTCTGGTGAATTAATATCGTTCTGAAGGTTAGAGGTCAGCTGAATGTCTGGAAAGGCATACTTTGTAGGTAATGCTACAACCCTGGAGTCAGAGAAGTCTTATTTTAAACCCCAGCTTTATTTACTTGCTACACCAGACCTTTGCTTATTAACTTCCACAAACCTCAATTTTTTTGCATCAATAAGTTAAATATCTTATTAGCACTAATTTATTAAATTATGAGGATTAATGAAGTTACCCAAATTTAATGCAGTTTAACATAACTCAAGCATAGCAAGAGCTTAGTAAATATTGGCTATTATTCAAGTTGATTCCAAAATAGCTGAGCAGCAAAGAGGAATATTTTTAGATGTGTGGCAGCGGTGCAGATAATTATACTCAAATGCGTGTCTTTGGGTATGAAACCAATAAATGCTCTCTCTATCCAGTTGGATTTAATGGCTCAATAAAGAGTTAAGTTTGGAAATGCTTGGTCAGAGGAAAAGATGAACTTTGAGTTCATCTCAAAGATATTACCCATAGAGTTGGACCTCTTTGATTCTCTTCAATATCAAGTAAGATTTATCTGCCCAACCCCAACCAGCTCTTTG